TGAAGAAGCCCAAAAAAATGCACACATCTCAAAATCAATAAATTTGACCCAAATGAGAACTTTTGGCTGCCGCCCTCCAACTTAAGTGTTATTGAACTTGATTGGTCCTATCGGGGTTTGAATGTCTTAAAGCAAAGTCTTTGAACTTGACATGTTTCATCGGATCAGGTGTTAAACTAATTTGTTTCGACCCCTAATCGTCTGTACAATGTTGGCCTTACTATAATAAATACTGACATTTCCTGAACACTATTTAATTTTTTTATTCTACACAGATGCCCTGCAGCGCTGACGATTTTCTGACAGTTCCCAACTACAAATATGGCGATTGTTTTGTTTTTAATAAACAAATACCAGAAAACTTCACTCATTCAAACCCAAGGTGAATAGTGTAAAGAAACTGTAGATACCATAATCTGCAGATTTACTTGAGATGTTGTCTCTACTTTGTGCAAACGGTAGTCTGTGTCTGAAACACTGAGCTTTGTGAAGCTGGTCAAAATATATAGGAATTGCGCGCACTGTAAGGTCCTTGACACTTACTTACTTACTACCCGTTACGCCATCTGGCGTTTAGTGCAGCAACAAAGGATCACCAGCTCTGTCTGTTTTGGGCCATCTTGGTCAGTGTTCCCCACGAATGATTCCAGGACTTCATTTCAGACTCTACTGTGCGTCTCCAGATCACTTTCGGTCTGCCCCATTATCGACGTCCTTCGGGTGTCCAGTGGAGGGCAGTCTTCACAATAGAGTCTTGTTCTCTTCTCAGAACATGTCAAATCCATCTCCATCTTCACCTTACCATAATAAAAAAAGGTCCTTGACAGATGTTCGTTTGCTCTCAGGAGGGAGGGGCGGGAGAGCTATTGAGGCAACGGTTAGTTGATTAAAGGGCCTAAAGTCTCGAACTCAAAACCTTCGCTACTGATCATGGTTTTACATTTATATAAGCAGGAGTTTTATTTATTTAAAAAAAAATTATTTTTTTTTTGGGGGGGGCAGAGTATGAGCAGGAGGGGGGTTGTTTTTGTTCTTTAACGTTTTTTAAGCGAGTAGTCATACCTTTCTATTAGGATATCGCTCTACTATGCCCTACAAACCAGATCGAAAAGGGCGTGGAGTCAACTGTAGGTGATAACCGTTTTTTCTGTCCAGCTCTGTTCTGTGCCAAAATGTAGCATGGGGGTAAGGTCAAGCGAAAAGTAAAAGAAAAACTTTCTTCTTTGCAGTTGTTCTATTTTCATTTTCCATGACACGGAATTAGGGAGACATCTTTTAGAACAGGATCGGGAGGAGGGGGGGGGGGGGGGGTTGCAATGAGTGTAAATCGAAATGTCACAAATCAAATACACACATATGAAACAAAAACAAACTCAAAAGGATAGCAGTTTACGTATGACTTTATGTATTTCGATAAAATGTTTCATTTTCTTTTTAAACTGACCATCACCAGGTACACTACAAAACCTGGTCCGGACAACGGCCTCATCATGAAGTTAGATGTACAGCAAATGCAGTACTTGTACACCACGGAGGACGCAGGGTTCAAAATCGTCGTTCACTCACAAGACACCACCGCCTTTCCCGAGGACGAGGGCTTCCTGGTGATGCCAGGCACCAGGACCAACGTTGGCCTCAAGAGGGTTGGTTTGGTTCTCAATCAAGTTTAAACTTAAATATGATCAGAAAATTTTCAACTTCAAAGCAGTACAATACGGCCCCTCTTATGCATTGTATGGAAGATTAATACGTGTGCATTGAGCAGACTGCATTAGCTGGTTGTTGCAGGCTCTACGGCCAAGTATTGTCTTTACGAAACCGTTCACGTTAAACTTTGTGTATTTTTTGTTTATGTACAACTCTAACCCAGAGGAAAAATACTAGATCGTTCCGGAGACCGAGCACTTAGATAGTGGAAAAAGTGCTTGAAAGACGATACTGTAAATTAAATATTATATCAGATCTGAGTATCGAATTTGTGTTTGTGTCAGTAGTTGTACATTATGGGGCTGCGACAAAGACTCACCAAAAGCGAGACAACCCCTTACTTACAATGATTCTCAGCCAGAGACGATTTATTTCTGTGGAACCTCTGGCATTAGATGTAGTTATATAGCCTAGATATTAATTAAACTGTCGAACGCGTTTGATATTTTCGCCTTTGCTGATGAGATTACACATCGGATTTACTAAATTATCAAATATCACTTGCATTCTGGTTTCTTTCACATTCAGCAATAACAGCATCTAAAAGCAACGGACGGTCCTTTTCTGAATCTACTATCAAAACTGTGTTATCGCAATTTGAGGCCAAGATTTTCTTCTGTATTTCTAAAGATTGTTTCACTGCGTATGTTAAAGAGGTCTAGATCTAGCAACATACCATAACACGTCCTTGCCTCACTTCCTTTCTAGTCTACTTTTATTCGCTGTATTCTCCATCGTTCAATCAATCAGTCAATCTATCTAGATAGATGGTCTTTCTCCTTCGCCTTTCTTT